TTACAAGAACCATACTCACTGCTGAGGCTGACCTGAAACTTGTGATCCTCCTGCCTCAACTTCCCATCATGGAATGGTCAGTATGTTGTTTTTACTGGTATAGACACTTACTTGATATATGGATTTGCCCTCTGTGTATCTAATGGGTTTGCCAAAACTTCTACTTGTGAACTTATAGAATGCCTTATCCACTGTCATAACATTCTTCACAGTATTGCTTCTTTCATGATAATGCACAGCAAATGAAGTGTGTTAATGAATACCTGCTCATGGAATCCCCTCCCCTTTTTTGCTATGTTCTTGATCACGCTGAGGCATCTGGCTTGATAGAATGGTGGAATATTATTTTCAAGATGCAGTTGTGGTGCTAACTAGAGAGTAACACCTTATAGCTAAAGAAAGAATCTTCAGGAAGCTGTATGTGCTCTGAATCAGCATTAATTTTTTTTCAGTGTTGTTTCCTCCAGAGTCAGGATTCATATTTTCAGGGACCAAGGAGAGGAAGTGGCAGTGAGGCTATTTACTATTATCCCTGATAAACTATTGGCATTTTCCCCCTTTCCTTTCCTATACCTTTTGTTTTGCTGGTGTAGAGATTTAAAAGTGAGAAACCTTTTCAGTATGAGAAAGATTTATTCCATTGAACTAGAACTTAAGATGAACTCCCACCCCCTCCCCACCACTTCACACTTCTCATGTCAAAGAAAGGAGTTACTATGCTGTCTGACTTTATTGATCCTGATTACAAAGGGAAAATTGAACTGCTATTCCACAGTGGAAGTAAAGAAGAGAAGAGTATGTCTCTGTTTTAGTCAGCTTTTTCATTTCTGTGACCTAAAAACCTTACAAGAGAAATTGCAAGGAGGAAAAGTTTATTTGGGGGCTTACAGTTTCAGAGTTTTCAGTTCATATATGGCTGACTCCATATAGACACACCAGAATGAGTCAAAAAGATTCTGAAGTCAAATTGAAGGGGCTCCCAATGGACAAATTTAGACCAACATGAACATCAAAAAAAATTAATGATTAAAATTGATTAAAACATATCAAAGACAAAAACTTTTAGAGCTCCTGATAACACTCTAAAAAACACTATTGTCTATTTTTTTTTTAGTACCAGAGATTGAACTGAGATTTGCTTAACCACTGAGCCACATCCCTTGCCCTTTTAGTGTTCTTCATTTTGAGACAGGGTCTTTACAAGTTGCTTATGGCCTTGCTACGTTGCTGAGGCTGGCTTTGGACTTGTGATCCTCCTGCCTCAGCCTCCCGAGCCACTGGGATTACAGGCATGTGGCACTGCACTCAGCTATTCTCTATTTTTATGAGACACCTTTTTAAAATTCCACATAGGAGTGAGATAATGTGGTATTTGTATGGTTTATTTCACTTACTGTAATGTCCTTCAGGTTCATTCACGTTGTTACAAGGCAGAATTTTCTTCTTATGGCCAAATAGTATTCCATTGTGTATATAAAACATATTTTTTATCCAGTCATCTGTTAATGAACACTTAAGTTGATTCCATATTTTAGTTTTTATAAATAATGATGCAATGAGTGTAGAAGTGCATATGTGTCGTCAACATATTAGTTTCATTTCCTTTTGTTATATACTCTGTAGAGACATGGCTGGGTCATATGATAGTCCTAGTTTCAGTTTTTGAGGAAACTCTATTGTTTTCCACAATGGCCATATTCATTTACATCCCCACCAACACTGTATAAGGGTTTCTCTTAATCCACTTTCTTGTCAGTACTTTTTATGCATTGTCTTTTCATTATAGCCTTATCAACAGGAGTAAGGTGATGTCTTCTTGTGGTTTTGATTTGCATTTTTGCAAACGGTTAGTGATATTAAGCTTTTTTTTTTATATACTTGTTGCCCATTTATATGGTTTATTTGCACAAATGCCCAAATGCCTATTTAGGTAGTTTGTTCATATTTTATTAGATTATTTGAGGTTTGTTTTTATTTTTTTTCTAGTTGATATTGAGTTGTTTCTGTTCCATTCTGGACGTAACCTCTTTATCAAATATATAGTTGGCAAATATTTCTCTTATTCTTTAGATTTTCTTTTTACATGGTTGTTTCTTTGCTGTGCAGAAATATTTTAGTTTGATACAATACAATTTTTCTGATTTTGCTTTTGTTCAATATAAGTTTTGAATTCTGATTTTTAAAAATTCTTGCTAAACCACTCTCTTCATAGCCAGGAAGTTAACCAGAGAGGGGGGAGAGGGGGTAAGGGGTTGGTATCTTACTCTCTCCCCTCCAAGACCATGCTATCAGTAATCTGAAAAACTCCCATCTCTTAAACTTCCGTCATCTCCTCATAGCACTAAGCTGGGCACCGAGCCTTTAACACATGAACCCTTGGGGAATACTCTAGACCTAACCTATAACAAGGGGGATGTGCTTTCCTTAAATTAAAAGAAAGTGAACAATTCAGAGATAGTACAATTAAATCCACAATGATATATCACTACATGCCCACTAGAACAACAAAATGAAAAAGATGGAGAGACCAAGGGTTGCCAAGAATGTGGAGCAAGTGGAACTCTCACATACTGTTGGTGAGAATATAAACTGGAAAAAAAAAAAACACTTGGAAAAACTGCTTAGTAGTACTGACTAAGTTGAACATATACATGAATCTATAAGTCAAAAATGATACTCTTAACTAACATGCCTCTGATAGTTAGCTTTACATTGCTGTGACTAAAATACCTGACAAAGAACTTAGAGAAGGAAAAGCTTATTGGGGCGGCTCATGGTTTCAGAGGTTCAGTTCATGGTCAGCTGACTCCATTGCCCCGGGCCCAAGGTGAGTCATAATATCATTGTGGAAGTATTTGGTGAAGGAGCACTTCTCCACTTATGGTGGCCAGGAATCAGAGAGGGGAAGAAGAAGGAAACACAGGGAAGATTAACCTTTCTAGGGTGTGCCTCCAGTAACCCTCTTCTTCCAGCTGTGCTCCATCTGCCTACTACTGTCACCACCCAGTTAATCCATTCTAACTAGGATGGTGTGATTAGGTCACAGCTTTCACAATTCAATCACTTTACCTTCCAAATATTCTTGCGTCAACATAGGAGCTTTTGGAGTCATCTTATATCCAAACATAACCATACCCAAAATAAATAAAAATGCAGCTGGAGCTGTAGCTCAGTGGCAGAGCATTTGCCTAGCATGTGTAAGGCACTGGGTTTGATCCTCAGCACCAAATAAAAATAAACAAATAAAATAAAGGAATTCTGTCCATACACAAGTACAAAAAAAAAAACTAAAAGAAAATTCATCCAAAAGATATAAACAAGAACATTCATGCCACCCTTATAAATCATAAATCAAAAACTAGGAAAATACCCAATATATTATGAAATATCTAACATAATACTTTACAAAAATTAGAATAAAAACATCTATGATTCTATACAAGTGAATGTTAACCTCATGCCTATTTTATTTCTTGAAAGTTGATCTTTCTTCTAATCTCTCAATATAGTTTGAAGTAGAAAATTATATGAATAACCCCTATTTTTTTTTCTTTTAAGATACTTAGTGTCATGTTCTGTTATCTGTAGAATAACTTCATAGAAGAAAAAGAAAGTTTCCTTGTAGACCTTAAAAAGTGATTAACTATATTTAAAAACCAAAGGACAAGATAATATCTGATGGTCTGACAACTGGATGTGAGTGATTAGGCAAGAATTCTAAACGAATGCTCAGTCTATACCAAATCCCATAAGAGTCACTTAGTCACCATGGTAATTATGCTGGCCAAAGAAAAATGGGAAAAATAACCATAATTCAGATTTGGTTTTTAGTAGGCTCTAGAAACTGAAAATACTAACTGGACTACTGGACTTCAGTGGAGCCTGGAATCTCACTAAATCTGTATGTCCTGATGCTTCTAGGTATCTCAGGCTCTAATTTCCCTGGGAACTTGCATTCCAGGAAATAATTTATATATGATATACAAGTTTAGGCCAGGAATGGTGGCAAATGCCTGTAATTCCAGTGGCCCGAGAGACTGAGGCAGGCAGGAGGATCGCACATTCAAAGCCAGCTTCAGCAAAAAGTGAGGAGGCATTAATCAACTCAGTGAGACCTTGTCCCTAAGTAAAATACAAAATAGGGCTATGGATGTGGCTCAGTGGTCTAGTGTACCTGAGTTCAATCCCTAGTACACCCTCCCTCCAAAAAAGATGTACGAGTTTCTTTTGAGATATATTCATTTAGTAAAATAACCTGTGTTAGTCAAATTTTCTCTACTGTAACAAATACCTGTGATAATAAGCTTATAAAGAGAAAAAATTTTTTTGGTTCACAGTCTTGGAGGTTTCAGTCCACCGTGTGGCAGATCAATTGCTTTTAGGCTTCTGGTGGGTGGGCAGCACATTATAGGTATAGAATGTCATATAGCGAACCATTCATCTCATGGCTGGGATGTGAAAAAGAAAGAGGAAGAGACCACATGGTTTCACAGTTCCCTTTGAGGGAATGACCCAAATGACTTAAATCTTCCACTAAGTTCCTCCTAGGTTGTTTGCATCACCTCCCAATAGCACCATACTGGGGACTAACTCTTTAACACATGTGCCTTGAGGGACATAAATCTCCTTAACTTCTCCAAACTTCTCCTCGCTATGAACAGAGTCGTTTAGCAAGAATATTTTTAAAATATATTTTTAGATGTAGATGGACACTGTTGGGTGCAGAGCAGGCTAAACTGTGTTGTCTGCAGGGCAGGCTGAACAGATGTTGGATGCAAGATAGCCCACGCACTCAAACCCCCCTCTATCTGGTCCTTTATCACCTGTTTGTGTCAAGTCCCGCTCAAGGCTGAGCACTCAACCCCCCTTGGGCCAACAAGGCAGCTTGCAGACCCAGAGGCCCCATTAGATTTGGGCTATAAAAACTCCCTCCTGCCAGGCCCCCCTCTCTCTCCCTCTCTCTCTTGCTTTTTCTCTCTTGCTCTCTCTCTCTTGCTCTTTATCTTTCTTTTTTTTTTCATTTTTTAAAATTTTGTTTATTATTACTGTTTAGCAATGGGGAGATGCAGATTATTTACACCAGCAGCCATAGGGGTAAAGGGAACACAGAGAATTAATCAGCTATCTGTATAGGATGGATTACTTATGCAAAAATAAGAATCTCCGAAACAAAGGACAGTGGTGAGTTTGTCACTACCCTCCCCAATGATCCCAGCATGCGATAATGCCAGGCAGTGTGGCCCCTGGGCATGCGGTGGTGGGAACTAATGTATGGAAGAAAAAGCCACAAACCACAGAAATTTTAAAGAACCCCTTTCCCCCATACATACACATACATACACACACACACACACACACACACACACACTCAGATATATAACAGGATTGCAGGGTGATCAATACAATTAATTAAGAGGGAAGAATAGGAATTCTGCTGTTACAGGGAAGGAAGGTAGGGAAAGGGAGAGTTCCTAACCACTGTCAACTATATGGTAGGGGACATTATTTCCCTAAAAAGTAGTTTATCCCCTCAGGGCACCTGCTGGACTGAGCCCACTTTATACCTATCCAGGGCAGGGGGCTATTCCCCTTATGGTGGTAGTGGGGACAAGGAAAAAAACAGAAGGAAGTAAATGTGAACAAACCATTACTCAAAACTACTTCCCACATCTTCCTCCTTTAACCACAAAAAGCTAGAAAGGAAATAGTAAAGTCAGGATCTGAGTTCCCTACCTAAAGGAAGAGTGAGTGGATCACTGCCTTTCTCCCTTATATTCATCTTGTTTCCAAAACAGTTTGGAAATAGGCCAGAGTCTCACTTAGACCCTCCTTTCCCTCTGCATTTTCTTAGGAGATGTCGACAAAAAGTCAAGGGCAAAGATAACTCCAGATTCCTTTACTCCTGCCATCTAATTTTTTTGAAAATTCACCATTATTGAATAAAGATCAGTCTATAACTAGGTCCCAATCCCTATCAGGGCAATTCCAAGGGAAGAAAGCAAGAGTCTCAAGTTCCAATCATTGTGGTTTCCTTAACTCTATAAGGTCCAAGTTCTTCTGGGATAGATAAGGGAGACACATACACAGGAAGGGTTAAAGAAAGAAAATCAGGACCAACTCCATCCCTGTGTCAGTCAGCCTTCATTGTTCTGCTGAGGTCCTAAGAGGCAGTATCCAAGTGGAGGTGGGAAGTTAATAACTCATGAAGACAAAGCAGTGGGCATACTAGCAAGGCAGTCCTATAGTGAAATGCTTAGGCATGGCATTGCGTTGTAAATACAAAAAATTATGTTCTCTTTTGATTCCGATCAAAATAGAGGGAGTTTTAAAGAAAGGGTCTCTTCTGTGTCTTCCACGAAAACAGGAGAAAGTAAAAGAAACAACATATAAACTTAAGAGATCAAGAAAAAGAAAAATGGGCGGACTTCAGAAGCAGGAGAATTAGAGAGATGAACTGAAATTGGTCAATGTAGAAGCTGGCATGGCAAGCAGCACCTGGAATCATGAGCTGCACCAGATAGGCAGTGGAGCAGTGGACAGGAACATGGACCCAAGCCAGACAGATGAGGCTGGGCTCTGTTAGTGGGGCACAGAATGAGGTAAGAAAACATTTCAAATAAAGCAGCACCGTTCTGCTCACCTCAGGATTCCCACCCTCCTATACTTTATAAACCCTTGCCCCGGGAGTAAAATAGAAGGCAGTTTTGATATGCAGCTCTTACTTCCCATCCTCCCCTATCTAATTCCCTAAAGACAGGGGGTTCTGGAGGTCCTTTCCTATCTTTAAACAACAACAGCTTTTGCTGTCAAGAAGGTCCAAAGGGGACAAAGTGGAAAGGACTGATTCCTTGTGAGAGGCAGAGAAGGTGGTGACTGGATGTTCACCATAGCAGAGCTGACTGCCCAACTAAAGGAACAGGGGCATTCAACAAGATTTTGCACATGGTCAGATGAGAGATTACGCAGTCCTGCTCCTTAGCTTTTAGCAATAACCCATTCACATTTTTGAGGCAGCTGGAAGAGGTCCTTTCTGGTCTCGGTTTTCAAACAGCCTCTTGCACAGCCATGACGCTCTTCTACAGTTCAGTCCCAAACCTGGAGTAGGAGGCAAGTAGTTACCTGGCATATTAACCAAGTCAGAACCATGGACTTGCTACTTAACCAAGAAGAGTAGGAAAGGACTACCTAACCAAACTTATGTCCACAGCACAATCCGTCCAGATAATAATCTTCCAGTTTTGAGATGGTGCATACTTGCAAAGGTACCTACTACCTCCCCACAGGCTCACAACTGAATCCTCAGCCTGACTGGACAACCAAATTGCTCTTCCCCAAACCTATGTCACTGGGTGGGGGGTAAAAGAAAGAGGGCTCTGCTCAGCTGCAGGATAAGCTTTGTCCCAAGTTCGCTGAAATCATTGCAAATGCCAGACCTTTGGAAAACAGGTGGTTTTGAATTTTCTCTTCTTGCAGTCAAGGCCACAGAGCTTCCCTACCAAATTCAACTGAGATTCTTTTTCTTGGTTGTCCATACTGATAATGTTAGTATCCAGTTCTCCTTTCATTTGCATCAGAAAAGCCCAAATCAAGGGGTCAGACACCAGATGAGCAGTCCCACTGACTATGGTCTGACCATCAATAATGTCTTAACTGTCCAGGAAGCCCCGGACATCAAACAGGCAAGACAGTCTTGAGGAACAAAAGGATTTTATATGCTGGGCCAACAACTGCTCACCTGTGACTGAGGGCAATACAGGGATCTTGTGTACATCCAGGTGTGTTTAGAGATCAATACACGTTGCATGGTGCCCAGACTTGTACCTTCTCCTTCTCAGGGTTTCAGAGCTGATCCCAGGTACACTTAAAAAAGGATCCAAATTTCTAAATTCTCCACTTTGGGGTTTTAAATGCTAGGATCTTCAAGGGGAACTGGGACTTTTATATGATTTTTTTTTTCCCTACTTAACTTATTCCTCCAAGCCACAGGACCAGTCTGTATTATTGTCCTGGTCACTCTCAAGACTCTCTCATGTTGCAGCTACTGGAATTCCGGAGGTGAGCGCTGCAGCTGCTGATCAGGCCCATTCCCAGGTTCTCCAGGAAGGGAGCAAAGCGGGAGGCGGCATGCTCCTTTGTCTTCCACTGGCTGAATGCCAAAATCCTTCACGCTACCAGTCTCTGCGAACTCCAGGTAGAAGTAGCCACACTTGACTGCCCGGTGCACCTCAAAGCAGAATCCCAAACAAGAATCCTCTATCAGATCTACATATATCTCCTGAGCGATGGCCTCTAGCTTGTTAGTATCCAGGTTAGCCAACGAAATTTCCTCCATTTTAATTTGTAAACGACTGTGGAGAGGGCGCTCCTTTTACTCACGGCAGCAACACGTCGGGCTCCGCGGGCCGCGCCTAGGCCTGGGGCCTCTCAGGGCCGCGTACTCCGGCAGCGGAGGCGGTGGAGACGATAGCAGCAGAAGCGGTGGCGGCAGCGAAGACTGCTCCGGAACTCCAAGTCTTTCCGTTCGTTTTGGCTCTCTAGGATTCCGGGCTCTGGGCAGCCCCTGGGCCTAGACTCGCCGCCAGACAGTCGCGGAGCCTCAGTCAGCCGCCCGGGCCTCTTCCGCTCTCCGCTCTTTATCTTTCTTACGCGCGCTCTCTGTCTCTCTCTTGCTCTTGCTCTCTCCCTGTTCATCTCTTTTCTCTCTCTTTCCTTCTTTCCTTTCTCTTTGTTGCACTGCTGCAATAAAGATCTCTTGGTCACTCCAAGTGTTGTGGTTACTTTCCTTTCAGACACAATACCTTTATTTTATTTATTTATTTTTACGTGGTGCTGAGGATCGAACCCAGTGCCTCATACATGTGAGGCAAGTGTTCTACCACTGAGGCACAGCCTCAGCCCCTTAGCAAGAATTTTTTAAAAGCAGAATTCAAAACTTATATTCAACAATGTCACAGATTTAGTGACATTCCTGGCTCTACTAGTAACTAAGCCATTTTTACAAAGTACTTTCCATGATTTCCTTAACTTCTCCAAACTTCGTTTAACTGGATCTAAATTATAAGTATTAATTACAGGTTACTTGAATAAAGGTTAAGATTAAGGGAGATATAACTCTCCAGCACCAAATTATAGCATAACCCAACTTATTAAATGAGTATACATGAATCCATACTAATAAATAGGGTGATTGGAGAAAAACTGTCTTTATCAAATAATTGCAAATAATATGTATAACTACCAGTCCTCCCTGAGGTCAAGCTTAATTCTGCCTCCTATCCTTGACAGCATAACTAACTTAGTGACTCACTTTTATAAAACAAAGTAGGTGAATGGGAAATAGTATACACTGAAGAAACATGACAAACAGCACAATAATCAAGTGACAAAAGTTATTAAATACTGGTGACATGTGTGTATCTTGTAAACACAGATCTGATGGTAAACCTCAACACTGGTATTCTTTCTCAAAACACATAGCCAGATGTAATCATGAGAAAAACAACAGAGGACACTTTACTCATCAGGGTCAGTCTGGCAGTCTTCAAATGGTGAAAGAGAAAAAAACATATGACCTAGTAATTCCACTCTTGGTACATACCCAAAAGAAATGAACATACCTGTATACATAAAATCTGTAAACAAATGTATGTAAAATCATTATGCTTATTACACAAAAAGTGGAAATAACTTAAGTACTCATCAACAGATGAGTGCATAAAGAAGATGTGCTATATCCACATGATGTATTTTTTGGCTATTAGAAGGAATGAAATTCTGACATGCTACAACATGGATGAATCCTGAATACATTATATCAAGTAACAGAATTTAGAGAAAAAAGATCAAATGTTGTATGATTCAATTTATACAAAATATTCAGACATACATAAACAGAAACCATATCTGCAGTTCCTGGAGTGGGGGTGTGTGTAGGCATTGACAGAATTGTGCATTCAAGCACAATTGGACCACTTTGGGGTGACAGAAACATCTAAAATTGATTATCATGATTGTTGCAGTATACATTAACTGAAATGTATCATACTGTACCATCAAGATGCATGAATTAAAAAATTCATTATATGTGTGTAAGGTGTAAAACATGATGTTTTGATGCACATGTACATATTGAAATGTTTATTATAATCATGCAGCAAATTAGTGTATCCTATATTACCCCATTTTGTGGCACAAGAGCACCTAAAATATAATATTCCAACAAAAATATTAAATATAATACTATTATCTATAATCCTCATGTTGTACATTAGAGTTCTAGAATTATTTTGGCTGCATATCTATGACTTCCTACACTTTGACTTATATATTTTTTAATTTCTTTCACTCCATAATATATACTTTAATTGTCCATAAATATATTACAATTCTTAAAAATACATGATACTGCCAGGCACTGCAGTGCATGCCTGTAATCCCAGTGGCTGAGGAGGCTGAGGCAGGAGCATTGCATGTTCAAAGCCAGCTACAGCAAAAGCATGGCACTAAGCAACTCAGTGGGACCGTGTCTCTAAATAAAATACAAAATAGGGCTGGGGATGTGGCTCAGTGGTTGAGTGCCCCTGAGTTCAATCCCTAGTCCCCTTCCCATAAATTCTGTGGGCTTCCCTTAGTATCAAAACAGTCCATTCTAAAGGGAAGAGGCTGAACTGGTGATGTAGATCAGTGGTAGTGTGGTTGCCTAGCGTGTGTGAAGCCCTGGGTTCAATTACAAGCAATGAAAAAAAAAAAAATTAAGGGAGAAGCTTATTGGTGGATTGATACAAAACTAGAAAATCTCTTTTCCAGTGTCCTGGTTGATTGCAATGAAGGCAGACATCTCAGAGTAAAGAATTTCTTGTTCTAGGATCTCTTGTTTGTAGTTTAGAATAAGGATGAGAAGGCCCATTTGATCTTGGCCACTGTAACTATTATAACTGGAGAGACATACATACATATGTTGGCCTTTTATTTTTTAATATAATTTTAGTTGTAGATGAACACAATTTCTTCCTTCCTTCCTTCCTTTGTTTCTTTCTTTCTTTTCATGTGATGCCGAGGATCAAATCCAGGACTTCACACATGCAAGGTAAGCACTCTACCACTGAGCTAAAACCACAGCCCCAGCCTTTTATTTTTTTCTTGCTCTAGAGTGGTCTCAAAATGATCACTTAAGGTCAAAATTATATATATATATATATATATATATATATATATATATATATATATATATATATACACACACACACACACACACATACACACACATACATAAAATTTATAATTTTATATTTATAACAAATAATTTTATATTCAGGACTTAGCCCTATAATTTTCTTGGAATCTTCTCTTATGTGTGAAATACATAGGTAGATATACATACAGATATATTTTTGTACCACACTTAACAGCCTGGCATGGTGGCATATGTCTGTAATCCCAGCAACCAGGGAGATTGATGCAGGGGGATTCCCCCCACCACCACCAAAAAGAAAAATACATAAACTAGAATAAATCTGTAACTTCTCAGCTTTTTTTTTTTAATTAAGAGACTGAACTCAAGACAAAGATGGAGTCAATTTATATGGAAAACATTTTACAACAGTTTCAGTCCTTACAGGGAGGACTGAAATATGACTGGGAATATGTTATATTTCAAGTTCAGGATATTTTACAAATATTTTTAAATAGACTTTATCATATGAAGCTGGCCCAGCATTTTCTTTTCCTTTATTGTGTGTGTGTGAGTGTGTGTGTGTATGTGTGTTCAAGAATGTATAATTGTAACTCATGTAATCCCAGTGGCTCAGGAAGCTGAGGCAGGAGGATATCAAGTTCAAAGCCAGCCTCAGCAATTTAGTGAGGCCCTAAGCAACTTAGAGAGACCCTATCTTAAAATAAAAATATTTAAAAAGTTTTGGCAAAGTCATTCAGTGGTTAAGCGCCTCTGGGTTCAATCCCTGGTACAAAAAAATGTATAATTTACAGATTACTATTTTATAGGAAAAAAATTAGGAATTGAATTTAAAAAGTTTTCAGTAAGTCCTCTAACTCCTTTTGCCCTTCTCATGAGGAGGTTTTAGAGAGATATTTAATAGTTTCCTCAGGATTGTCCCATTTTTCTACTATCATACATTTTCAAGATTTGTCAAGCCCAAATATCATATGAACAAATTGGTAATGGAAATCCTGGATTGTAAGCTCATATGAGCATTTTAAACATCTCAGTAAATTTTTGAGCATTTTCTTTGTTTGTGAAGTCCTTTATAATGGCCCTAAACTCAGTTTTAGGCTACAGAGTAAAAGCAGGACTTCATGATCAGAAGGCCTCACTTTATAAGGCATAAGTCTACCTTATCTCTTTTTTGTCATCTTCAAGATGAAGGAGTAATTGAGCCAAAAGTTTAGTGGTTAGAGTATTGAGGTAAAGATAGATAAACAGAAGGAACAGTTAATCTAGCTAATGTATAGTCCTTTTTCCTAATGTCCTGTTTGTTATTTAAGCTTTTCATTTAAGGAATCTTTTAGGGAGGCAATTTTTTATTGATTCAATCTTTTTAAAACCTCCTGCTTACCAATTAAACATTGCATTTCAATCTCTTTTTTTTTCTAAAGTCCTTTAGGTCAATTAAAACTTCTCCTTTGTGGCTACATTAAATCGAAATGGTCTCTAGGAATATTAACCCATTTCTCTAAAAATACACACATTCTGGGCCTTTAATTCCTATACATGAAATTAGCTGGAGCTCTAGGAAGTAAATCCCCAACTCCTTGGATTGAGATAAACCCATTATCAATAAGGTACCTACCTGAGGGCTTTAACTGAATCCAATCCAGTTAATTATCAGATCTAATCTGATCCTATACCCAGTGCAGCCCAAAATTGCTCAAATAAATTTGGAGCACTCAGAACACAGATTAGTGGGGCTCAGAATCTGAGTGAAAACTCACCCATGACCTCTAATTACAAACGAGAGAGCAGTGAGCATAACAGGTTTTGCAGGTACTTTGCCTGTTCACCTAGTGTTCCTAGGGGCCATTGGAATTTTATTCTGAATCCTCACTTCTGACACGGAACCTGTTAAAAGAAAAGCTTCATACAAATTAAATTTAATAGAGTTTAATTGAATAAAGAACGAATCATGAATCAGGCAACCTCTCGAAACAGGACAGGTTCTGTAAGGAACTGGGGCTTCTTATGTTAACAGGATAACATTTACAGAAAAGGGGAAGTGGCATGCAGACAATGGAAGTGAGGGACAAAGATAACTCAATTGGTTATAACCTGGCATTTGTGTTATTTGAACCTGTTTTGACTGAGGTTGGCCACTGTGATTGGTCACAACTCAATTTTGTTACAAAGGCAAATTTCCAAATGTAGTTTTCAATTTGTTTATGTACTGCGTTTAGTTTCAATTGGCTATATAAGTACTGCATAAGTTTGTGAGCACAATGGCTGTCTTAGACCAAATATATTTTGAATAAGCATTGTCATTTTGCAAAAGAATATATACTGTATATCACAATGATTAATTAAATGCTAGTGTATTATGTGAAGAGAAAAATATGGAGAATAGATACCAACAGATTGATACATTTTTGTATTATGGAGTAGGGAAAAGAAGGGAC